GCACCGCAGGACCTGTGACACCTGTCAGCGAGCTGTGCAGTGAGAGTGACAAAAATGCGACCAGACCTCACCCCTTAACCACAGCGGACACCACTACGCCTTCCCAGCGCCTTTTCTAGGCCGAGGCCTCTACATCTAATACAGACGCTAACATTCATTACCAACACTTAGAAAATATAAAGTAGGGTAATACCAATAAACAGTATTTACAGAGAAAGAAATGCAGGCAACTCAAGCTCAACACACCTATGAATGAGCCTCCATTTCCCCCAGCCCTGAAGTCACCTAGTCCGCGTCCTCCCCAAGTCCGCTGTCACAGCCCACAGTGTCAGGCCTTCCTCAGTCGCCCCTCGGAGAAAGCGCAGGATCATCCCCGCCCTTAGTGCCTCCTTTCACACTTCAGTGACCGCATCCTCCCAACAGCACCTTCAGACATTCTGTGACCTCTCGCCCCTTCCCAGTGTCCCAGCGGTGCCGTGGGCTAGGCTTTCGGGTACCCCACCTGTACTCCTTCTGTCACCCCTAAGTCCCTGCCTTGCTCCCCATCCACCCGCCCCAGTTACCAGCGTTACTGCACAGAAATGCACCCACAGCACTCACCCGTCTAAACAACGCTCCACAGGTCAGTGCTGACCACAGAAGGACGTGGCACTAAAGCCTGTTCACGGACCTCTCCCTGCCCGTCTCCAACACCAATCTGGGACGTCACACTGGCACGCACATCCTCACTCGCTCTGCCTGCCGGACGGTTATCTCTGTAAGAGCCAGGGGGACTCTCTTCTCTGCACTCTTCAGTTCCACCCAACCGGCCAATGACCAAGTCTGACTTACAAAAGCCACTTCCAAAATAGTCCTCAGCGTCTCTATGAGAATGCCGTCTGCAGTCCTGTGCGCACTCGGGCTGCTGCAATGTCTCTGAAACCAACCCTGCCCTATTTAAACCTTTGCTTCACACTGCCAACCTGTGAAGAGGGCTAAAACACAAACCTGGGGTCACCCACTCGGGACCCCTCCTGTCTCTCAGGAGCTATTCCTATTCCCTGTTCCTTCTCCTCAGTGAAAGCTCCCACTCTTAAAGAAATACACAGAATAAAACACAAAATGACCACATCACTCCCCCCGTGAGCGCTTCCCAGTTCCTCTGTCCAGCCTGCTCTCCCAAGCCCAACTCTGGAAATCCTGAACTGCTTGGTACACGTTCTCCTTCCGGCCTCCCCCCAGAGCTCAAGACGTGAACGGGTTTCCCGCAGCTCTTCTGTGAGCTGGTCCCACCGTCCTCTCCAACTTGTGTCGTTTCCTAATTGTGCTTCCAGACCCAGACCAGGCGTCACCTCCCGAAGACTGTCAGGGCTAACGATGCTGGGCACAGCACCTGCCTAGTGTGTGACAGGCCCTGCACAGAGGCCCAAGTCCAGGGGAAAAGACTTCTCCCTCTTCCACACCTCGACACAGGCCTCCTGCAGCACCCCGAGAGCAGCCCGCCTCCCGTGCGGGTAACTGACTGTGCCGTGCTGTAGTTACCGCCATCTACAAGCTCAGACAGTGAGCACTGGAGGTCGGGCTCTTGCTTTGCTCCTGGCGCACCTCTGCCACGAGGCAGGAGAGCCCTTGCACATCCCAGCAGTGACAGTGCAGCCTGCAGTGCAGCAGAGGCACGCGACAGGTGAGGCCGAGCTATACAGAACAAACCTACTTCCTCCGCTCGACACCAACGCACTCCCTGAGGCCTGCCACGCCGCCTCAGTGGCCTTGTGAACCCTGCATTACAAACACCAAGTGCACTCAAAACTCCTGACCGAATTAAAGCACCTACAAGTTTAATCCTCCTATCAGTACACTCCTAGAATTCCACAGAACACCCAGGTTTCTAGAAATCAACCACTCTGAATTTGATGCCTGATTCCCAAATCGTCAGGCAATACTGATATCAGCTAGTTTAAAAAAAAAAAAAAAAAGAGGCACTCTCCCCCCAATTCCGTAAAGCTGGAAAGCATGGGACAGGTTTTCCATCTTATATGAAAAACAAATACAAAAAACATAAAACTGTGTAGTGAGACATTTTTCAAAGCTTTTCCCCAGTACTCCGAGGAGAGGTACGACACATGCTGTGACAGGCAGGCATTGAGAAGTCAGTGCGAGAGATGCTGCACTTCCCCACAGCGTCTGACACGGAGCTTTGAAGATAAAAATCTCGCCACCACACAGTCTCGCCTCCCAAGCAACGACTCCACTTTGAATTTCTAAGCTGCACACCAAAAATTACTCTCAGTAATGCTAACAGCTAATTTCATTTTCGTAATTCAAACCCACAGTGATTTTATAATTGACAAAGGGGGGAAAGCAAAGTAACTTTCACTCAATAATGAAAGCATCTACAAGATCCACAACACTTTTCCTTTGAGTCCTGCAGTCCGAGTTAACGCCCTTACCTGGGACACCCCAGCCCTGGCCTGGTGAGCTTTCTTTTGGTCACCCCAGTTCCCAGTGGCTAAGGAGTACTTCAGGCCGTCGGATATGATCCTTGTTTTAATTGCCAACTCCAAGTTAAAGTCTTTTCCTCGATCAATAAACTTCTGTGCATAGATTCGCACTTCTTTCAGCAAATTCTTAAACATACTGCCAAATAAAACAGTACTGCTTTAAACATGGAAAGACCTACAACATGTATTTTGTAGACAATATTACCCACAAGAGGTAAAAAAATGGTTTTAGCAAGGTGAAAAATATTACTATTTTTTACTATATACAAAGTACTTTATACATATTAACTATGTTACTTTGTAGTATACTATGTAAAACGCAAAAATACATGCAGTACACACATATATAGCAGAGGAAGCAATTAGGAAAAGTGTCAAAAGAAAATAAGGTCCTTAGATAATTAAAAAGACAAATGCTGAAAAATACTAATCAACACACTAACAAAATATGTGCTAAATACTGCTCATATTATTTGTTCTTTTTGTATTCTCTGTGTTTCTAAAATCATTTTGGTTTTATTATAAAAGTATTATACAAAATATGGAAAACAGAAACATCCAGAATACAAAAACATACAATCCCAATAATGTGAAACAATGACTACTAATGTTCTCATATATTTCCCACCAGCTTGTATTTATAAAATACAAAAGCAAGATTAACAAAAGTTCCAATACTTGCACTTAGAAAATTAAGGCACGCCAGGGGATGCAGCTCAGTAGCAGAGCACTGCTTGGCACGTGCAAGGGCCTGGGTCTGATCCCCACACCACAAAAAAGGGGGAGGTAAGGAAAAAGGGGAGGAGAAAGGGAGGGAAGGAATGACCCAGTGCAATACATCAGCTTTCTCAACATCTTCTAAAGCTACTAGAGGAATAAAACAAAAACAAGTACGAAATCGTGCTCACAAAAACAGTCTCAGACATGAAGAACCAACTGTGGGCAAGCGCAAACACAAGGTAGCGAGCTGCAGATGCACCCAAGCCGGATAGGAAGTCCGACAGGAAGTCCGTTTAGCGGCTCCATATGCAATGGCCAATCTAAAGTGCAGCCTCCCTACTTCAATGGATTCATCGCGAAATTCCTTACCCTCTAAATAAGAATGCAAGCAGCGGCCCTGCGAGATCCAACCTTTTGTTTCCATAGTGATCTCTGTCATCCAGTTCTCTCCTACCCAAAGCTGCTAGAAGCAGCCTATGAACCATATACCTTAAAAAAGAAGAACAGGTGGGTTTGGCTTTTCCTCCGTAACATATCAAGAAACTGTATAAATACTTGTAGCTTTACGAAAAACACCTTGAACTGTATCTTCACAGAGAACTTTAGAACAATTAAAATTTAACATACCCCAAGAAATAGGCTTTTTTGGTCTCACAAAAATCACTGACACCAACATGAGGGAGCATTTCTTTTTGCAAGACTTCTTTTGCATATTTAATTCTTTTCTCCTTAGTAACACCAGGCTTTGCCCCGCGTGAGCCAATGAAATTTAAAGCAACGTTCTGTTCTTGGATGACAAAGGCTTCATCGAGAGAAGGTTTAACCTATCAAATAATTTACAGAAGTCATTTTCAGATTCATATTTTCATTAGTCAGCTGTAATTTATTAACATGTCAAATATCCCTACAAACCTAATTAAGTATAGAACTATTTTTAGAAAAATCAAGAACTCATACAATCTTAAAACTAAAGGATACCTCAGAGATCTATGAGAAAATCCACTCACTCACACAGGCAATTTTACTTTCTAGAAAAATACAAAAAACCTAACTATAGAAAGTGTGGGGGTTTTCCCCACATTTTAATGATCAATGACGAAGTTCCCTCTAGACATCTCAAAAAAATTTAGAGAAGTTTTTTGGTTAAAATTTACTGAGCTACAAATGAGTGAGCCAGGAGTGGTGGCACACATCTGTAATCCCAGCACTCAGGAGGCTGAGGCAGGCGGATCACTGTGAGTTTAAGGACAGCCTGGGCTACATAGTGAGTTCAAGGCCAGCCTGCATTAAATAGCGAGACTGTCTCAAAAAAATAAAAACAAAAAACAAAAAATGAATGAACGTGTTAGCTCATTTTCAGTCTTGGTATCAAGAAAGTTTTAACCAGAAATAAAACCATTCAGTGTTACGTGAAGAGATTTTTAAAGCTCACTATTAAAGAGAACTGTATTCCTTATCTGCCACTGGCAAGCAGCCATGTACCTCATTTTTTTGTCCACAACAGGGTTCGATAAAATAATTCTAAATCACCAGTTGCACACAACAATGTGAGTGAGAAACAGAGGTAACACTGAGTAAGGGTGGCCTCCATAAGCACTCTTTACTCCAGTCACACACTGAAATGCTTGTCTGCGCCTTCCTGTATCTACCCTCCTGTACTTCAACACCCAAATCCCAGTCCTGGAACGAAAGGCCACATAAGCCAATCAGTGAGGATACAGATAGAGCACACTGGACCAAAGTGATTTTTCACAGAAAACTATTGCTGGTGTCAGAAAACTATTTTGCTAAGGTTAATACAGACTGGAGAAAAAGAGTAACAGTAATAATGCCGTTTGTAAGTAATGATCCTGAGCTGGATTCTAAACTAAGGTGGGGGGAATGCTACTAAAGACATTATCAGGACAACCGGCAAATCTGAATAAGATATGTACATTAATAGCACTGTACCAAAGTTAAATTTGATTTTGTAAACTCTGATTATGTAAGTGAACAACCTGGTTCTTAGGAAATATGGACTGAAGTCCTTAGAAGCAAAAGGGGATCACGACTGTAACTTGCTCTTGACTGGTCCAAAAAACTACACAGACAGAATGACTAAGAAATGTGGCAAAGATGGCTCAAGCTGGGGAGAGCGTGCAGAAAAGTTCCCTATTATTCTTACAACTTTTCTGTAAGTCTGAAATTCTTTCAAAATAATTTCTAAAAAAATAGCTACAAACAACGCATTTTTCTTGTTTTACTAAATGGTGAGCTCTTGTGACCTCCCTTGCTGTTCCTCTGAGCCGTTTTCGCTGCCCTCCGGCTGCCCCCACTTCTTGCTGTGCCTTACACAGACTCATCGGGACAGCGGCCTGGGCAGGGCTCACGGCCTGCAGTGCGCAGCGAACGGCAGGACAACTGAGACAGACAAGCTGCTCTCCACAGTGCCTTTCTACTGTTCCGAGGTTACCAGCAGTCAGAGCCTCTAAACCTCTTACAGAACGCGAGGAATACACTGCGCTTCCACGTTACCATCTCCATCATCTCTGGGTCTTCGAAATCATAGATGATGTGCTCTAAGATGTCTCTGTCAGACACAAAGCCCAGCGCTCTGAACACAATGATGATGGGAACCTCCTGCTTGATGTACGGCAGGGTCGCCACAATGCGCTGGCCAATAGCACTCTTCTTTGCACCCTAGAAAAATGAAGTATCGGAACATGAAGACATGTGCTCAGAGCAATATAAAACCACTAAGAGAGCCATTTATGTAAGTTCACTGTATGCATTTCAAATGCAGCATGCCCCTCTTGCTCTGAGGAACCTCCTTCAGCCACTTTCCACAGCTGCAGGAGCACGTTTACTCTGAACAGACAGCCTGGCCATTTAAACCTAGCTGCCATTCTCAACTGCCCACCACTTCTAGAAACTGCCACATACTGTATTACATCTGCAACTGACTTCTGGCTCAAATAATATGAATACCGAGCGAAAAAAAATACAAAAACCCAGAACAAGGCTGAGGTATTAAAAAGAGAGAGTGGCCAGGCACGACGGCGCACCCCTGCAATCCCAGCACTCTGGAGGCTGAGGCAGGAGGATCACCATGAGTTTGAGGCCAGCCTGGGCTACAAAGTGAGTTCAGGCCAGCTTGATCCTATCTCAAAAAAAAAAAAGATGGGTTTCCATCTTGCTTATAGAGCACCATCTCTGGCACTCTTTCCCTACTGTCTGCAGAAGCAAACTGCCACACTGTCAGCCTGAACTGTATAGTAAG